GGGTGTGGGTGTGGGGTGTGGGTGTGGGGTGTGGGTGTAGGTGTGGGTGTGGGTGAGTGGAATGTGTAATGATACCTAAATTGGAAGTACTACTGCTTTTTGACTAAAACTTGAAGACGGTTCAAACAACAAATTTGAACTATCTGGAAGATGTACTGCGGCTTTGATAACAGATTCGGAGTATTGTGGAATAGTAATTTGATCGAGTAATCGGACTGTACAACATGATGTATTGTTCGATTGAATGAGTGAAGTGGTGGTAGTTTGACCTGTAGTATCTTGCAAAGTTAAACGTTGTGTAGAGATATCCATATATAGAACATATTGATTGATCCAGTCAGTGCCTACTAAGACATCAGTGACGAGACTCGAAGCAACAGAAGCCGTTACAAAAGTGGAGAGACCGATAATTTTTATTTCAAGTTGAACTTTACCGATTATGTTGATCGTGGTACAATTAGCCGAGATATAAGAATTTTGTGAAGGTTCAAACGTATTGTGATATATGCGTTGCAAAAATTGATTATGGATAATAGTGATACTGGAACCAGTGTCCAGGAGAATATTATGATAGGTGTGATTGATTTGAGCACGAATAAAAAAAGGGTTTGAGAATGTTGATGATGATGGCATAGTATTACTGAGATCTCCGCCATCTTGAGTCCCAGTTATTGAAAAACCTGGGGACAATCACGAACATTATGGTTATGGTTACCACATTTGTAACAGCCACGTGGCTGTCTATGATAGCAGTCGATAGTACGATGATTTGATCATTGACAGATCAAACATGGATAGAAGTGATTCGTTTGTGTGGGACGAGGACGATAGGCACGTGATTTGTTAAGAATGTGCATGTAATCTGTGGTACGAGTATTTTGAGGGATTTGTGAATGAAGAGAATTTTCAGAGCTGCTTTGTTGTTTTTGAGTGACAGCAGTGACAGGTGAGAAATATGGGGATGTTGGAATGATTGATTGTTGGGTTCAAGAAGGAATTTCGTTCAGTAACTCTTCTTCATCATGAGCGATCTTCCAAAAAATACCTGGTGTTGGTTCATCATCGAGCGTTTTGAGGGGACGTTTAACGTGTATTTTTAAATCATTACGCATACCATCTTGTAAATAATCAACGATCATATGTAGCGGCATATTTTGATCAACTTGTTTACATAAATCAATAATATCATCATAGTAGGCGTTAAGTAGTTCATCAGGTTGTTGTTTTCTTTCCTTCAGTCGCGTTTTGATAGCAGAAAGAGATGGTTTAAAGCGTTCAAGAAGATGTTGTTTTAGATCTCGCCATGTTTGTAGATGGTCTTTATTGTTATCATACCAATTAAAGGCAGATCCTCCTAATTTAATAGTAGCGATAGAATGTAGCATCGATTCATTCAATCCAGCGAAGCTACCGATGTGTTCAACAGCATTAATAAACTGAGTAACTTTCTGATTAGGATCGCCAGTAAATTTGGGTAGTTCCTTTACAGCAGTTGTATTAAGAAGATTTTGAAAAGGTTTAGTCCCATATTGGTAGTTGAAATAGTATGTAAAGAAGTAGTTGTATCCATAGGAACAGCGTGATGTCGGATGCGCCCGTATGTGATTATATCGTGTGGTAGTAAGTTACCGGGTTGGGTGTTGCTTCGCAAATGTCTGCGTTGTTGAGACGTCGTTTTTCGGGTTTTTGTTTTTGTTTTAGGTAAATAGTAATGGAAAAAATGAATTGTACCGAAGAGTTAATGAATGTGACAGAATTCCAATACACAGGTGTTTGCAACGTTATGTGAAAATGATCGAGAGAAGACGAGTCACGGCACCAAATATTAAGACTACCCCAGTTCCTTCTTGATGTTCGTTTTATTTTGAGATTCAATTCCCTCTTAAGCGAGTATAGAGAGAGATATATAGAGAAAAATAAAGCATCAAAGAATGCGAAATGAATAAACAAATACCAATGAGTCAAAGAGTAATACATATGACTGTAACACGCTTCCTCGACGATTTAAGCTGAATACATAAAAATAATACCAGCAAGTCTGACATCCTTGTTTTCTTTGAAGGTGGACGAGGCTGCAAAAGAATTTGGCATTGAAATATTACGTTTGCCACTTAGACACAGCGTGTTGAGCCCAATCGAATTGGCATGGTCTGGCCTTAAAAATTACATACGTGATAACAATACGAATTTTCGACTCGCTGATATTCATAATCTTGCGTTGGAGTATTTGGCAGCTGTAGATGAATCCTTAGCAACAAGTTATTTCAAACATATCAAACGGTATGAAGATACGTTCAAAGACGCCGATAAATATGTTCAGGATGTGATTGAGCCAAAACTGGATGATGCCGATGATGATAATCAAGTCTCTGATGATGATGAAACCTCGAGTGACGATGATGATCAAGCTTCCGATGATGATGCCAATAGTGACGTGCAGCTTGATGATTCAGACAACTAAGATAACGATGACAGTTGAAATGAATACGAGTTTTGGTTTTGTATTTAACCTTTTTCCTTTGGTATTTGGGCAGGATGTCAATGCCGATGTCTTGCAGCTGTCACACACATGGTTCCTGTTGAA